GATTTGAAAATTTGGCAGGTTTGGGAATATCCTACTGACCGTTTATCGTATTGGATTTGGAATCTCGACAGGTTTGGGAATATCTCACTGACCGTTGTTTATGGAGTTGGATTTGAAAATTTGGCAGGTTTGGAGTATCCCACTGACCGTTTATCTTGTTGGATTTGGTTGTTGAGGTTGAAATTTTGGCAGGCTTGAGAGTATTCCACTGACCGTTTTATTGTATTGGATTTGGAAATTTCAGCATTAGATTTGGAAGGACTCGGTAGGCTTGGGAGTATCCCACTAACCGTTTTATCGTGTTGGATTTGATTATTGAAGTTGGAATGTCGGTAGGCTTGGGTGTGTCCCACTGACCGTTCTATCATATTGGATTTGAAATTTTGACAGGCTTGGGAGTATCCTACTGACCATTTATCATGTTGGATTTGACTGTTGAAGGTGGAATTTCGGTAGGTTTGGGAGTATCCCACTGACCATTTTATCGAGTTGGATTTGAAATTCCGGTAGGTTTGGGAGTATCCCACTGACCGCTTTATCGAATTGGAGTTGAAAAATTGGCAGGTTTGGGTGTGTCCCATTGGCTGTTCTATCATTTTAGCAAGCTTGAGTGTGGCCCACTGACCATTCTATTATATTCTATTTGAAATATCAGCAGGACTGGATTTTATCCTGCTGGTCGTTTATATCCCACCAACTCACCTTTTATGTTTTCATGTTCCAATTCAAGACAGAATAATTACAGGTAGGTATTTGGTATCTACGTCTTTGTCTCGAGTTTGTTCGAAATTTAGACAAAGAGGGGCAAACTGTAGACACCAAAATTTTACTATTCATTTTATTCATATTTTTGTTTATTTTATTCATTTTTAATTTTTAATTTTATATTGAAGAAAATCATTTCTTTTATCAAACACAAAAATTTTAGCATTTTTATTTCATTTTAGTTAATTTGTTTGTTTCCATTTTTTTAAAAAAATCATTGAAAAAAAAAGAAAGGAAGCGTGCCATTCCTACATTTTCACAAGCCAGTGATGCTACAGTATTGAAAATGCAGAGGCAAAATTCCAGCTCCTTTTCCACTTGTTTTCTTTCATTTTTTTTTTTGCTCCATTGGATCACTCTAGTATCGGCCATCTGACCTTAATCCAAGAAGCTTAAGTTCTTGTGGAACAAGAGCCATCTAAGGGCTCAAAACAATCACGGGAAAGGAGAAAGCAAAATTTGAAACCCTAGCCTTCTCTCTCTGGTTGCAGAAGAAGAAAAATGGTGTACTACTTCAAAGCGAGACCTGAGGCTGGAGATTACACCATTTTCATGGGCCTCGATAATTACGAGAGCGAGAAGCTCATCAAATACGACTTCCCTAAAGACGTTTGGTTCCATGTGGATAAAATGCCATCCGCCCATGTCTTTCTGAGATTGCACAAGGGCCAAACATTTGATGATATACCAAAAGTTGTACTGGAAGATTGTGCACAATTAGTCAAAGCAAATTCTATCCAAGGAAATGAGGTGAACAATATTGATGTTGTTTATACTCCATGGCATAATCTTAAAAAAACTGCCTTCATGGACGTTGGCCAAATTGTAATAGTTAGGTTTATTTTATTCCCCATTAGATTGTAGTTAGGGCCTCAAATGTAATAGTTAGGGTTTTTATTTGCTATAATTGCTTGTGTGTTTTGCATACTATGTGTTACTCGCTTTCTTAGGACTTGCATCTAGATATCATGCCTATGTATTATGTGTTTATGTGATATTATGTGTTTATATGCTTTTATTATGTTTTACATGATTTGTTAGTTATAATTAATGTGTAACGTCATCACACTAGTCCAACGCTAGTTGTGGCCCTTTTTCCAATTTTTTCACTAGTCCAATGCTATTGAAAACTCATAGATGTGGGCTAGTCCAACGCTAGACCCTTAGGAACCCTGCGAGCGTTAGATCATGATTGTGTGATAAAATCATTTCATCTCCTGCATATTTTACTTTCTAGGGTTTTTATCATATTTGCATGTTCCCCTTATACATATAACCCTTATCCCATAATTCCCCTTATATATATCCCCTATTTTTATATTTTTCTTTATATAATCCTATGCATGAGACATGACATTAGATTTGCATTTTATATAGGGAAAATTAGAGATAGGTTAGTACATTTGTTTGATAGATTAGGAAAAAACCCTTTGGATATGGGATATAGACGAGTTTGGTTTTTTAACCTTAACACGCTCGTATTCCTTCTATTAAAGGGAAAATTGAGTCACGAACATTAGTTTCCCGTACCCGTTATGATGCATCCCTTTAGGTCATGTATATTTGTATATTATTATTTTTTCTTTTCTTTTCTTTTCTTAGAGTATCATATTTTTGCATTATTCGTGACTTCTTCAAAGAGTACCTATTGGGCATCACAATTAATGTGATTGGCACCAATTAAGTTTTGAAAAGATATTTTGACCCCCCGATACTCTCTTAGATCTAGGGTTTGCATTCATATAGTACATCCAAATGTGATAAATCTTTAGGTTAAAAATAAGAAAATTTTTGACTAAATCATGCAACTAGCCGTGGTTAGGTCGAAAGGGTGCCTCGAATTTTTATCCTTGCCTTCCCTTTTTTCAAATGTGACTCCCGAACATTTTTCTTTGATTTATGTAGATTTGGAGTCGTTTAAAAAAGGTTTTCTACTTTTTTTCTTGAAAATTCATTTTTAGGTGAATTGGTATACCTTATCTCGATACCAAGTAGTGACTCCGATTTTTATTCAAAAACCCTTTTTAAACTATAATTTGGGCCCAAATCGTTGCATTTTCGAACCCCATTTAGGCCCTTTTCATTTTCTTTATTTATTTTCTTTAAAATCAAAAATTCATTTTTCAATCAAAATTAAACCAAAATTCATTTTTTCTAAACACGTTATTTTTTCTCTTAAAAATGGGGCGCGATAGTGTACAAACACATTCCTTTTCATTGATTATGTCTATCCCTAACATGAGATTTTTTTTTCTTTTTTAGACTCAAATGCATTAGCTGCATGCATCATGGAAGACAACACACGAGAATTTTTTATTCAAATGGCATTATGGGGTTGTGATGGGTTTTATTTTATATAGTAGGGACATTTAGATTTCAATTTTCTATAGAGAATTCATATTCAGTATTTGTTTGGATATCCAGTAGATATCCTTACATATGTTAATTTCTAAATTTCTTGATGTTTTTCTTCATTCTTTTTGTTGGCATTGGTTGAACAACATTATTATCTCTTATTATGTATGAGAAGATAAGAAATGTTTTGATAATTTTTTGCTATGCTCTGGTACATTTTAGTTGATGATGATAGTTGCTACTATAAGTTTTCAATATTGGAAGGTAAGGACAAGGGATGATAAAAGAATGCAGTAAAGTGGGGGGAAAGGATGAACTTAATTAACTCCATCTTTGTCGACCACAAAAGGTTAGTTTTGGTAGTGAAGAAGTTCCTATGAAATCCTGATAAATATTATGGGTTTCATAGACATTTTGATGTAAATGGTGTGGATTTAAACTAGAGGGGTATGGATTTAGCCTTACCGTATGTTATTTTATATTTTTCACTTAACATAAGATCCAAATTATTCTTTTCAATCATATACTCATTCTCAAACAAGATCAACAACAAAAAATCAAAAAATTTGCAACCAAAATATTATAAAGAACAAAGTTTAATATCATAAATATTCTTGTCAACATATTAACATTAGTTGCTAAGATTTTTATGGTATTAAAGTTCACTCTTTAAAATATTTTGGTTACATTTTTTTAATCATTTGTTGTTGATCTTGTTTGACAATAAGTTTGAAACTAATTCGGATTTTACGTTAAGTGAAATATATAGAATGATATACTATTTTTGATACCATATATGATTTTATTCCTTACGATAAATAGTAAATTCTAGTATTTTCTTTAATGTTTGGGTTAATATTAGATTAATTAAACAGTTTAGTAAATGAGGGACGATGGTAGAATCATATTATCTCGCTCTCCTAACATAACTTGTTAATTGTTGGTTGGATCTAAATATTACAAGATAATAAATCTTTGGGGAGGTTGACAAAATTTTCAAAATCTTAAGGGAGGACAGTGAAATAATCAGAATCCTCAGGGGAGTTTCCTAAAATTATCCCACAAAAACAATTGATTAGGTGGTAGAAAAATTATAAATATTATGGGTTTCATAGACATTTTGATGTAAATGGTGTGGATTTAGACTAGAGGGGTATGGATTTAGCCTTACCCTATGTTATTTTATATTTTTCACTTAACATAAAGATCCAAATTATTCTTTTCAATCATATACTCATTCTCAAACAAGATCAACAACAAAAAATCAAAAAATTTGCAACCAAAATATTATAAAGAACAAAGTTTAATATCATAAATATTCTTGTCAACATATTAACATTAGTTGCTAAGATTTTTATGGTATTAAAGTTCACTCTTTAAAATATTTTGGTTACATTTTTTTAATCATTTGTTATTGATCTTGTTTGACAATAAGTTTGAAACTGAAAAGAGTAATTCGGATTTTACGTTAATTGAAATATATAGAATAATATACTATTTTTGATACCATATATGATTTAATTCCTTACGATAAATAGTAAATTCTAGTATTTTCTTTAATATTTGGGTTAATATTAAATTAATTAAACAGTTTAGTAAATGAGGGACGATGGTAGAATCATATTATCTCGCTCTCCTAACATAACTTATTAATTGTTGGTTGGATCTAAATATTACAAGATAATAAATCTTTGGGGAGGTTGACAAAATTTTCAAAATCTTAAGGGAGGACAGTGAAATAATCAGAATCCTCAGGGGAGTTTTCTGAAATTATCCCACAAAAACAATTGATTAGGTGGTAGAAAAATTATAGCCTGGCTAAAAAAGAAAATAAATTTTTATTCATTTATTTTTTATTCATTTATTTAGTTTCCCGTATGTGTCGTCCGGAGTCCAATCCCCTCCTCCTTCTCTCTCTCACACAACAGACAGTAAAAAAACCTCTAAATTCTGCAGCTCATCTCAGAAGCCTCTGATTCACTATAATATGATGATGGCTCCAATATAGACTTATCACCTGTTTTGAATACCTGGGTTTTCTTCCAAATTCTGTAATTTTCCTCTTATTTCCCCATCTGGGCTCTGTTGATTTCCTTATTTTCATTGGAGAAAGAAAGAAAGGAAATTAAAGAGAACATTTCAACAAAAAATGGGGAAAAATCAAGCTTACAAAGCTATGCAAAGAGCAAGGCTGGGTGCCAACTCTGCTGCTCCTGAAGAGATCAATGACGGCATGGTTCGTACCCTTCCATTCTATTTTTCCTTTTCTGTTTTTTGTACCATTTTTACGTTGTAGCAAATGAAATATATGCCTTGTGAATGATTTTTTTTTTTGGTTGATGAACTACCATGGCGATCGCTTTTCTTCTTTTTTTTTTCTTTTATGAATAACGGATTTTACTCTTGGTCTTATCTGGGATGTTTGCAGAATTTTTTTCATTTATTTTTTTAGATTTGTGGATGATTTCAAGAAATTGGGCCGAGAGTTTTGGTGCATGTGAAAAATTGGACTAAAAGGTTAAAATCAAGCTTGAATTTGGATAGGCTTAATTTGCTGCTAGTATTTAGCTGTCAATGATTGGATAACTTGCAGTTTTGGGCCTTGAATTAAATGGATGACATAAGTGCTTTGTTACTTTTTTGTTTTGATGCTTTTCTTTTTGTTTGTGGCTTGAAATTTAATTGGGGTTTGTTTGAAAGAGATTTGGTCAGTCTATAAGCTAGAAGAAGACTTTATTGCTTGATTCAGGAAAGAGTGAAAACTAGGTAAATGATGCGATTCTATGAAATCTATGAGGATGTGATTAATGGTGTTTGAAATTACTAGTAAAGTGCGCCATAATTCTTGAAGCATTGGGTGTTTGTATATTGGTATTATGTTTCTATTGAAGCCGATTCATATCTTGTATTAGCAGTGAAGTAGACTAGTCTTTGTATTCAGTTCTTCCTTTGGTTGGTCTGATTAAGATCGTTGTCAAGCGCATAACCTTTCGTTTACTTGTAATGGATCTAGATTACTTAGTTTGAGTTGGCAAAGTGGTTTTGCCCTGTGCATTTCTGATGAGGACTGTCGCAGGTGGATGGTTCTTTTCATTCACCAGAGTGGCATGCTGCTCGTTTGGCAAGTCTCAATAAATCTCATACTGTTACGTGGGAAGAGTTCAAAAGGAAGCAAAAGGTATTCTGCTGGATGTTCTTGTGTTTGATCTTGTCTTAGTACTTCCACAGTTTGACCGTTGTGATTTGTTGCAAGGGCAAAAAAGCTCGATTAGACTACTGCTCAAAGGTGTTGAGTTATTGCAACATACAACATGGAAAGATTTACCTCATGATTGCTTCATAACTCATTTTCGTTTTGCATTGTTTGCTGTTGTCAAAGCATATATTTGTTATCCTTACATTTGGTGAAACATTATAACTCAAGTTGTGTGGTATTCTTGTTCTTTAACTGTTGTTGGTGCCATAACTGTTGAAAGATGTTATGCTTTTAAACAAATAGTAATAGTTTGCTCCTCTAATTTTGTTTCAAGATTCCTGATATTGCTCTCAAAAGAAAATCTTGAACAAAGAAACAACTGGCTTTACAGCTTACTAATGTCAAAATGCATGAAATTGCATTTAAAGATTGGGGAAGACATACTGGGCTCTTGAGATGTATGAGATAGTATGCTTGCATTTCTGTAATGGTGTTGGGATCAACATAAATGAACTCTAAAGGTACACAGACTATTGACCCTTCAGATTTTGGACAGTTGTAGGAATTGTAACTGCTGGTTTTCTCATTGTGCCTGAGTGGCTTACAAGTTTAATTCTAACTTCCTGTGGACAACAAGTCACATACATTCCGTCAAAAAGGGACCTGAGACTAGATGTTCAATTCTATGTTGTGTCCTGGGTTGTGCCACTAGGTACTCTGATCTTGGGGGTGTATTATTATCCTTTTCTTCTGTGAAAAGGATTCCATATAATGAAATTTAACTTTGGTTTTGGTGGTCTTAAAGAATTAAAGTTGCAGTATTTGTAGTCATGTTATGGATGGTCCAGTGTGCAGATTAGATTGGGGTGGGCAAAATGGCATTCTTGAGCATATTCAACTTAAGTTTTGTGACTGTTATGAGATATTTTGGCTTGACATTTGTTGTTCTTTGTCTACCGAAGATAACCAGATAAAAGATTCTGGTTGTGATGAGGTTTAATGTGGTGAGTCTCGTAATTGATTTTGTGAATTGCATTCTCTTGTTGCTTTCTCATGGGTTACTCTGTTAGGAAGAAGAAATGAAAAAGGGGGAGTTAGAAGCAGACAAGGATAGAATGATGAGGGAGTACAGGGCTCAACTAGATGCTGAAAGGGCTCTCAAACTTTCTCAAGGGAAAAACCACTCAAGCAGGAAATCTGGTCGCAGAAAAGGTAATGTATTATGTAGTGAAAGGAAGACCATATTCTTGTTACTAGTTACATAATTAGATTTCTTGAATGGTGAACTTTTATTCTTCCAGAAAAGAAAGATAAGGATTCAAAGAAGCGCAGCAGCAAGAAGAGAAAGGTGCGCTCAAAAGTGTTCTTTATTCTTTTTCCTCTTTTTTCAAATCTTTTTTGTGATTGTGCTTAGAGTAAAGTAGAAACATATATAACCATACATATTTACTAGGTAAAGTACCAAAACAGTCTTTTGGAATTAAGAAATTTTTTTTATAACATCCACGTGAGGCATTTAACATATAAGCAGTTATTTTGAGTTTGGCCCTGTCCACATGGTGCTAAACTTGTGATAAGGTTTGTCCTCCTTCATGGTTTTACTAAATCTGATTCTTATGCGTACATCTATAATGAAAATTCTTATGCGTATATCTATAATGAATGTAGAGTTTTCTGTAATTATCACAACGCAAGATCTGTTAGGTAATCTATTCCTTGTTGACGGATGCCCTTCATGAGAACATTTTGCATGAGAAAAAATGGTAGCGAACTTGGAAGGTATTCTTTTTGCTCAATCGTAGATAATGGAAGTTCCTGTTGTCACTTCTTTTCATAAGCAGTCAATCAAATAGAAGATTGACTGGACCCTGGTTCAAATAGTGCAAATTGGGGGGTTTTTTTTTTTTGGGTGGGGGATTTCTTGCTACCAGTTTAACAGACTGAAATTTAACGAGTTTCTGCTCTTCACAAGATGGGGATGTGGTAGAGGTGACTTCTTCCATCCTTTCCACTTCTTTAGTCAACCATTCAGAAAGCTCTGAGTTCATATTCGGTGAAAGAGTTTTATTCACCTGCTCAACCGCAATTACAGTTCCAATATAAAGGTTTCTTGGCAGTCACTTAGTTCATCTGTTTTCCACATTTTTGCTCTTAAGTAGAATGTTTTCAATCTTCGTCTACAATAAGATAGCTGGTTTCAATGGGTTAACCAAATTTCACTGCCCTTGCAGGTGTATGTAATCTATAAGTTGTAAGCTACCTGAGATAAATTGGTCTATGGAGCTTCTTTTTGAGGTTCTCATCATTGGAAATTTTCTACTTTTATTTTTGACATTTTAAGGTTCAGTGGATTAATATGATTCTCCATAGTTGAGGAGCATCGATTAGTGCAAGGGTTCATCAAATTACCTGAAAAAGCTGTTTGGGTGCACATAAATGGTTTTCATTTGTTTTTCTGTTGCTCTTTTGATGCTGTACAATAATGTCGCATACTTGCATTGCAAGATGTAGATTCCACTTAAGTTTTGACCAATATGTTGTAATTTTATGCTCCATATGCATGAAGAAATGAAAGATTTAGTATTGGATTTTAACTCAGCCCCTACCTCAAGCATTTTTCAATCATTCAGGGAAGAAATGCTATAGTGTTTTTGGTATTACTTGTGTCGTGGTGTATTCTTTGATTCTTCTCTCAGCAAGCAGGGAAGTACAAGTACTCGTAGAGAACTTATGACTTTTGTTATAGCCATTAAACAATTAATCATCTGAACAGAATCTGCCTGTGTGGTTACAGTTAACAAATATGAATGAAGCCGACTATGATCTTCTTTGTTTCATGTTATGAAATACCTGATTTGGATTATATATTCTTAGCATTCGAGGAGATATTCAGATTCTAGTTCTTCAAGTTCGCCCTCAGAGTCTTCAAGTAGTGATGATGAATCAAGAGGATCAAAGTCGAGGTCTAAGAGAAGGAAGAAAGAAAAAAAGCATCGATCAAGATCCAAGCAATCCAGCAGTGATAGTGGAGAAGCTGACGGGCCTTTGCCACTTTCTAGATTCTTTGGGAAAAGCTGATTTTATTGTACTTGTACCATTAATCTTCTCTTAGATTAGCGGTTGAGTGGATTCTTCCGAAGTCAACAGAATCTAGGTTGCAACTTTTTATTACTGTATGTATCCATAACCTTCTGTCTCATTATTACAGATCAATGCCTTCCTGAGCTAGAGGTTATGTAGTGAATGTGGGAACAACTTCTATATTTCTTGGATTACTGTCTACTAAAATTTGAAACTTCTTACATTGTGATCTTATAGAATCTGATAGAACTTTTTGGAGTGGAGGAGGTTAACTATTCTCCTTTTCCAAACTTAAAGCCTCTTTTGTTCTCATTTGAGTTTGGACGCTAAGGTAGCTGCGCTGCAAATGTTGAACGTGATTCTACTCTTGGGATGGATTACAGGGAGCAGCAAAAGTTGCCATTCAATTCACTGTGGTAACATAATGCCTTTCTGGATATATGTTCGTCAGGTACAAAGTGTTCTCAACGAATATGCAGAGTTCTATGTCTTGCATCACTGTCCTTTGCAACTGAGTTCCCTTGCGTTTGTCTCTGTTATCACGAGTGGCTGCTGGATTTTCTTCTAAAAATGCCATTAGTTTTATAACTCAATGACAAAGGTTGAATGGTTGGAATCTTATGACTTCTTGTCAGATCTAGCGGATGAGAAGTTGCAATGAGTACGAGGTATATGTACCAATGGACTTTGATCGATACTTTTTCGCCAAATATGTTCACCACAATCTGGACAATGTATGACCTTGTAACAAATATATTCAGCTAGAGGCCCCTGTACAATCCAATATTTGCACATCCATCCATCCATCCATCCATGTGTTTCAAAACTCTCTTAACTGGGATATGGTTGTTTGTACTCTAACAAACTGGAGGGATAAAAACATTAAACTCCCTTGAATTTTACCCTCAATTGCATTTTACTCGCTCAACTCAATAAATAGGCACTTTGTTCCTCTGTTTCATGTTTTAGGACAAAAGTGCCATTTTCATGTTCAACATTATTTTATTTTATTTAATTTTTTTGGTTCTTTTTCTACTTGTCCTTTTTTATTTTTTATTTTTTTTATTTTTTTTCCTTCTCTTATGTGGTTGACTACTATTTTCTCTTTGCTGTTATTACCCATATATTAATTTTCATATATGTGTGTGTCTATACATATATATATATTCTGTATCTAATATTATGGTTGTATGATAATTATATAAATGATAGATAAATATTATAAAATATTATACATAATATGTAATTGATAAGAATACAATTAGGTGTATATTATGCATAAAAATTATAATCGTTAATCACCACAAATGAATTTGAAATCCATGCGCATCAACTTGAGAGAAGCCATTACCGATTCCACACCTAATTCTAATTCGATTTATTAAAAGTGGTACATACCAAATTTGTACAGTTCATCAATTTACCAATTTCATTTTGGATGTGGTTAGCAAATCAATACCACCGATTTATACAGTTTTTCTTTTGTGATAAAACATCATAATTTTATTAAAATCTGCGCTAGTGATAGAAGTTGCATCATAAGAAACCCTAGAAAAAGAAACTTAATCACACAAACGAAAAGAAACTATAGAGAGAATTCATCCCATGGAAAAAGATCAGAAAAATCTTTTGGCTAAAGAGTTGGAGGAAGTTTTGGCTAAAGAGAAGGAAGAGAGAAGTAGTTTAGCTTATACAGATTTAGATGCCAAAGAAACAGTCAATAAGGATAAAAATAAAGGAAGAAAAATGAAATTAGAATGACTTTGCTAAATATTTAAATTCTAATTTTTGTTGATGATTTGATCATTTCATTTTCCTCCCTTAAACTAGGGATGTACGCGAGCCGAGCTACTCGCGAGTAGCTCGGTCAACGACTCGGCTCGAACTCGGGTTGACCGAGTTCGAGCCGAGTTTCGAGTAGCTCGAATGAAAATCGAGTCGAGTTTCAAGTCGAAATAGCCCAGCTCGAGTTGAGTCGAGTAGCTCGACGAGCCGGAGTTATTTAAATAATATATTTATAATTTAAATAATATATATGTATTATAATTATAAAATGATCATTATGGATATAAGTTATATGAAATTTACAATATATCCTTCTTTATAATAAAATCCTATAATGGCAAAAAAGTAATAACATAATTGTAAAAAGACCTAAAATGAAAAAAATTTTCGAGCCTCGAGTATCGAGTCAAGTCTCGAGCCTAAAGAAAATTTTTCGAGTCGAGTCTCGAGTATCGATTTTTTGGGCTCGCTCGAGCTCAAGTCGAGCTCGAGCTTTGGTGTATACGAGTCGAGTCGAGCTCGAGTATAGCAATACCCGAACTCGACTCGGCTCGATTACACCCCTACCTTAAACCCGTTTGTGCATGTATTATCAGTAGTGCTCGAGCAACTCTAATAATGCATTTGCTTCGCCTACAAAAAGAACAAAGAAAAAACTTAAAGCTTAACCATTTCAATCGAGTATTCAGGACCATCAGCAATCTATATTTTGGCATCCTGATATCTGTTCTACTGTATGTTAACCAGAACTGGAACTTGCAGCCATAAGCAGAAGTAAAAAGGAAAGTGAAAAAGGTCATAATTAGAGATTTTCGTACATTAGAAATTGGACGTCAACTAGTAGTACAGGAAGGAAAAGCAACCCTTACAACAACATGACAATGGTTTCAACCTATGCCCCCGATCCAATGTCTTCAATAGCAAATCCATCCAGGTTTTGGATGGATAATATATACATAAAAAGGAGAAAAAGAAGAGTACAAATTATCACAGCGTTCAAATCACACTAATTAACTCAACAACAAGTTGACAGCAAACAAGTCTCACATTTGCTGATATTCTGGATTGAATGCGAGAGCCTCTCGATAAATCAACTCCTTCATCTGTTCCTCAGTCAAGGCATGCTGCTCAAAATCGAAGCTAAAAGGAGTCATGCAAATAGGTTCATCACTGATGTCATGGAGTGATGTTAGATATGGGTGTGCCAGTGCATCTTCAACTGAAACACAGAGACAGAAAAGAAAGGATGAGATGTCAAAACAAAAAGTCTCGTCACCATGCACTGAGGTAAGAAAAGAATTGTAGTGGGACAATGGTAAGATAGAACTACACTTTTGCAAGGGTTCAACAATTAGTTCTTTAGTGCTAATTTCATGTTTCACAAGAAACCTTATCCGGGACAGAATACTAACTTGAATTCTGCGAAGGATCAGTGATTTACAGCACAGGCTAAAATAAAAGCTCTAGTTGCTTTATCATGTTTTGAGCCGTGGACATCTTTACTAACATTCACACAATAGGCAAAGGAGTAAAACCTTCCATTTCAACGTTAAAATGCATCTTAACTCATGTCTCTTCAATTGCACTCATTACCTGCCTGACAGAAGAATGTAGATTTGCAGAAGTGCTAAGCACGCATTTGTATAATTAGTCAAGATTAAACACAAAAGTTTCCAATATAGCATGTTGAACAGGACACAAAAATATCAAGCCATGAATCATGTTAAGTTGCCATTTCACATAATTACCAAAAAACAGCATTTAGGGAAAACCCAATGTTTGACGCAACATATATTTGATTTGCACATTGCTATAGCACCTTGGGGTTGCAGTGGCACATAACTACTGCAGATCTCTGTTCAAAAAAATTTTTAATCTACTTTTATGGCTGTCTTTGGAGTTCTTCTTATAAGGTCATTAGTACTATAATTTATATAATTTACTTAAAAATAGTTCTTCATCATTTCTTCATAATTGGCAAAATTTGCTTCTTGACCCAGGTGGAAAACAAAACAGAGATTGATATTTCAATAACCACACATAAACCCCATGAGAGCAATAAAAAAAGGCATTGCCAAGGAAAGCCACAACAGGCATACCTTTCACTTGTTGGATTTTAAATAGAAATGTGTTGCCAGGCAGCTATAATAAATTCCTAGTATTGGTGGTGGACTTATAAAAACAGTTGTCAGAAAGTATATATACAGCAACATAAGAAACTCTAGCTTGATCAAATATGCTACATGACATGAAACATTTACGTCCAATCCCCTGGAAAATATAACATATTCAAGGAACCATTACTTGTGGCCTTTTAGGGAACTGGAGACATACATCTTATGCTACATTTCAAACAAATATGCAGCAGAACCAGCAGCTCTAAGTTAATCTATCCCAATTCAAGAAGAAGTAAAATAACCAGTGTTACTAAGATCAAAGCAACTCTGGAGGTTAAACTTAACTGGAGTCCATGTTGCCAAGGTGTTAGGTCTACAGGTGACTAGTTTTTTTATTGAAGGGGTTTCACAAAATTAGGGAGCACGAGGTAACATCTTAAAGAAACATAGACTGGGAGGAGAAAGTGCCAAAAATGGTCAAGTATAGTGATGCCTGTAGAAGGAAAGTATAGTTCCTTCCTGGCTATTGATTGAGAAGGTAAAGCTGGCGTGTTAGCTTCAGAAAAGATTAAGTCTGGTACTTTAGAAAATAGTAATGCAACACATATCCAAAGAGCACACATAGTGAGAGCACAGTGGATAAAGAAGGGATTTGTTGAAATGTGTTAAAATTTAAGAAACTGTAACAGGAAAAATTTAAAATAGGTGGTTCAGGAATGTTCTATCTCAGAGGAAACATCAGGACATGATCCCCAACTCCCCATGTAGGGTGATAATAATGCCATCGCATTTGTTCCTAACTTATAATGCACAAGGCTTCACCATCCTATATGAAGAGGAGTTACCATGGTATTTTTATTCACAAATGCATATAAGATTAGTATCAAACATGTAGCTCCCGGCAAGGCCAGTATGGTCATAAAATAGGTCCTGAAGTTAGTTCAACCATGGGACTGTTGGAATAAGTTTTAGCTACTTGTTAGGATCTGCTTTGGCACACCAATTTGGAAATAAGGAAGCTTCAATTCTAATAGGTCCAATCACCATTTTTTTTCTTTGGTCCCCGCTTAACGTTACCTTACATGATACAAAGTTGAATGTTACAGTGATGGTGATGTGGCAAAACACAGCACCTAAAACTTTTTTCAGAATGCCAATGCTCTCGTGGGGCCAGAATGAGCAGTCAGCAGCATCAAGTATTGAAAATGCCAGACTCTTCATGAAATGGATCATACATGATATTCAAAAGGGCCAGTGAATTACATGTATGCTCACTGGTGTGACTCTTGCAACTTTAGATGTTGAGAAAACACCAAACTTCCACAAAATTTTAGTAGGTTAGCTCAAGTACATCTTGTAGATTCTTATAGCTTTAGCTTAAAGGTCATTCAACAC